GATGTTCTTTATAATACTTTAACACCTAAAAGGTATTTTGAATTTAATATTTAAATTATATTGACAAATAACAAATCATTAATTTTTTTTATCTAGCAAACCACCATCATATATTCAAGTTGAACAATTAAACATTGATGAGTCCTTTGATATAAACTTTCTTTCAGATTTACAAACACGTATATTAATTCACCTGGGTAATTCACGTGTTCCACAATCACTTATATTTAAAGTAATAAAAATAATTTATGAAGGATCAAAACTATATTATACAGAGGTAGATAAACTAACAACTTGGAATGAAAGTATTGATGAAAATTTTCAATTATTTGATAATTTAGAAACATCATGTTGTAAACAAATGTTAAAAAATATTGATAGTACACCAGTTTTTGTTACTCCAGTAGAACGAGAAAGGTTTGCCTATGCTTGCTTACAATGTTTGTTTGAACTATGTTCTGATGAAAAAGATGGTAATTAATTATTTACTTTTCATTTTTAATTATATTTATAAAAATAAACTTATTAATATATTTTTAGATTTTTTTGATATAAGACAAAGAATAGCTAAAGTAACTGTTCCTATCTTGTTAAAACGATGTGCTTTTGTAATTCATAATTATACTGTTGATCAACCATTATTTGGAAGATGTTCTTTGTTAAGGCATGTTTTTTTTTTTGAGAAATATTAATAAAAAATTTGATTCTTCAAAAATCTAGAATTATTTAAAATTTTTTAGAATAAGGAATGATGAAATATTATTTGTGTTACAAAAATTAGTCAAATTACGACTTCGACAAAATATATTAGATTTTAATGAAAATTCAACAAGTAAGCTTTAATATTTCAATATATTTAATATTAGTTTATAATAATTGGTTATAGTAATTAAAGTTATGTTTTATTCAAGATCTTTTAAAAAAACACATTTTATCAGGTCAAAATGCACATTTATTTTATTTGCAACATGTTATAAGTGAAGCTATTTGTTTAAAAGATTCTAATATTGATAAATTGTTAAAAGAATGTTTGAAAAAAATTGGAGAAGACTTGGGTGTTTATAAAATTAATATTAAACATATATAATAGGTTGAGTAATAATAATTTTATTTAAAATATTTATATTGTTATAGATAGAATTATTAGTTAGTTAATATAATTTTATAGAATAAATTTTTCAATTTTTCTTCTAAATATATATTTATTTTAGTACAATTCTATTTTGATAGCAGTAATTGACTTTATTCTATTTTTTCTACGTATATATTTACTATAATAAATAAAAATTTAGGTTATTTATTTTTGTAAATAAAATCTTTATTCTTCCTAGTAAATTATTCACATGTACAAAACTTATTAGTAATTACTTATCCATTTTAATAAATTTATTAATTTCTTTTAAACATTTTATAACTTATACTAAAATAGCATATTAGATAGCTTGGTGGCTTAACACAGTTTTATCACAAAATCCTAATATTCAAAATGTTGACAAGCTATAATATTGATATCACACGATATAACAATTAAAATTTAAAGCCTGATAATAATTGTTAATATAATTACTAATCTTTAAATGTTAATTATTACGCTGAGATTATAGTTTTAAGATTTTGGATATCAGGATCTTGTGGTAGAACCACTTAACATATATAAAATCATATATATGTTATAGATAAAAATTTGATTTAGAATTTTTAGGATTTTTAAAAAGTGGGAGGACCCACAAGGCGTTTGTATAATGTATAAGTTACACGAAGGAATGCGAGCTAGTTAAATACGGTGCAAACCCAAGATAAGTCCTGTGGCCACATAAATCCTAAGAACTTAGGCATGATGGACACCTATTTGGTAGCACATCCTTAAGTATATGGGTAAACTCCATAAAGGCAGGAGAATTTAGAAGGGTGTAACCTGCCTGTAAAGGTATAGAATTTATCTAATGAAGAATTCTCCTGTGGTTTCTTAATTGAAATTCAAAAAAAACTAAGTCATTTGTTAAAAAGTAGGTGTAACAGAGAGCACTAGTTGGAAGATCTCCTTTCTATTTCTATAATTAGTTATACTTTAGACTAGTTTTTTAATAGGAAATTAGGAGTGATTTGTCACACAAAAGTAGTTATACAAGATATAAATAGATAGTTAGAAAAATATATCATCATGATAGAGAAATTATAACTAATCTTATTATGTATACAGCAAAATCATAAAAAAAAAAAAAATTGAATTTTTAGAATTTTTAGTATAAGTATTCTGTTTTAAAATAAGTAGATTCTGAGCCCTATTATTATTTCATTTTTACTTACAATATATATATCCAAATTATCATGAATATATATAATTATACTAATTTATTGTTTCCTCTATCTTAAATATATACACCAGATCTAGATATATATATTTAAGAAATTGTAAATATGTTTAAATTAAAACCAAATTGCTTAAATTAAAGCAAAAACTTTCTAAAAGATAAGAATATATATAAGCAATTTGAATTTAATAAAAGAATATAAGCTCTTATCTACTCTTAATTACTAATATCACAGAGAAAGGTAGTTTTTGTTTTTTTTCATTTTGAATTTTACCTGCTTGACTATATATACAAAATAGGATAATGTTTTAGGTACGTCTATCTCTTTGCTTCAACACCTTAACAACTACATTAATTAAAAAGTTTTCATTAAGCTAAAAACTTGATTTCTTTATTATTATTAAAGATTGCTATACTTAAATACAAAATTATTATCAGATATATTATTATTCAAGTTATATACATTATACTATTACTAATTAGACTTTTAATTAATTTTATACAAATCCTGATCATGCTATTTATATATTCTGATCTAGATCAAACCCAGCATCACAAAATTCTGGAGTAGTAAATTAATCTTTAATATAAGCTAAATTCTTGAAACTTTATCTCTAAAATTTTTATTTATACAAAACCAAATTTCAATACAAATTATCCATTTGCAAAATGCCTATATAAATATTAAAATTAATACACTATTAATACAATATTTTTTTCAATTAATATATGGGGCCATTGCAGTAGAAAGGGCTGAAACTCTGAAATATATAATTTTGAGAAATCGTGTTTATTTTTTTCGAACTAATCTGAGTCAATCAAAAATTCTGAGATTTGATTGGTTAGTTATATCAGATAATTTCGTGGTGTATGAATCTTCTAAAAAAAATTTTATAAATATTTCAATTTTTTATTAAGCAAATCAATTTCTATTTATAATAGAAAAATGTAGCCTGTCTCGAAATTTATTTGAATCTTACAAAAACTCAATTTTGATTTCTGAGTGAATTTGAGCTCTTTCTACTGCAATAGCCCCATATATACTGATACTAAAATTTTTTTTAAACATTGTTACAGCATTACTATACTTGCAAGTCCAAATGTTTCAGTTTGTACATTTCAATCTGATTTTCAAACAGTACTTATTTTTTTTTTTTTTTTTTTTTTTTTTTTTT